TGGGAAGGGGGTCCAAAAAACAATTTATTTTATTCTCAACATTTCTAAGTTTGGGTCAGCACGATCTATCTTCACACCAAATTTGATGCCAATAGCTCCAAAACTGATGAAGTTTTGAGGGCGCGGCATACAGACAGACAGACAGACTTGACGAAATGATAAGGGTTTCTAATAGACAACGAAACCCTAAAAATTGAAAAAAATATTGATTAATTTCATCTTTCGGCAGGATGGGCTCCGGCATATCTGGGACTTTCGACTTCTTTCCGTGTCTGTTAAGGGGGATCGTTACGTCATACAAACTAAAATCTGAACTTCAACCGAGTTACACATGAGCTAAACAACAATTTTATCAAAAAATCTTTATGTGAGATGAGGAAGGCACACGTAAATATGTCGCAAAACTGCTTAACGTAAAAAAATATCAAGTATTTTCTCCACAAAAAAATTAAACGTGTTTTTTGCAGCAGTAGCTCCATCTATGTTCATTAAGTGGCGACACGGTTTTTACAGAGAAATCTGATGGTTAAAAATTATTTGTTTTATTTTGCGAAAATGTTATAAAAGCACGGGACTTCCCATCAAGTTTTTTAATCATAATTTTGTCTCATTTAAAGACGTAACTCCATTTAAATTTTGTATGGAAAACAATCCACCTTAACGTTCTATAGTTAGCATATGGCGGTACCTGATGAGACAGATATTTATGCAGCCGGCTCTTACATTATTAGTAAAAGAAGAAAACCTATGGTTTTGACATTTTGACATTCATATACTACTCTATGACTCTATGTGACTCCCTAGAATAGGTAATATAGATCAGTGGTGACTCCATAAACCAACGCCTGTTCTCTTTTCAAACAAACAAGGTTTCCATACTTCGAGCATCTTCCGTCAAGTTTCCATACGAAAATATACTCACCGGCACAACATGGGCACAACTAATCGGCCACTTGCATTAGCATGAAATACTTTTTAATATTTATAACATTGATAATTACAGTTAATATAAGTTGTAAATTAGTTGATTTATATTATTATCTATTACTATTTACATTTCGTATTTTATTAGATAAATATATATTTTTATATTTATATTTCTAATCAACATGAAATATACCATTACAGATTGGTGGCCGATTAGTTGTGCCTGTAAGTGTATATGTAGGTGTGGATCTAGTGGCTAATGTTGCCTTATAATCACAGATCGTTTTATTTATATTGGCAACACTATCAAACTTACTGTCATATGGCTGTCTGTATGACTTTCAAAGTCATGTTTGATTTTGAAGTAAAACAATAAAACAATTTTTTCTCAAAGATTTTTAAAAGAAAGCTGTGGATTTTTTCTTGAAACGGGGAGTGATCCCTGCTCCTGCACCAGGCTGAGTAACAGAATGGCAATGTCTTCGTACATCTACAAAATGTGGGCAAAATCAGGTGAGTGATAATTCGGTAGCCGTATTTCACCGGTTTCCGAAACCAGGCTCCACTAACATTATGAGGTAGGTAATGTATTTATGTGTATCAATAGTCCTAGCAGTCCACAGCTGGACATAAACCATTCATGGGAGGTATTTTAAATACTTACTCATCAAACTTCGAAGAAAAGTCGACAAGCCGATTGACTCAGATATTTGAAAATCTTGTAATATAATTTCGGACACATTTTACTTTATTATAGAACAATTAATCTAATGCATTTTGTATTTATTATTTATTTGTAGAGCAACAGCTTCGACAACATTTTATAACCCAGAAGATGAGGATTGCTCTTCAGTGGACTCCTTAATTGCTCTCTATAGAAGTTGTAAACTTTTGTGTGGCAGACATTTCCAAGATTCTTGCTACCTTGTTGGTGCCAGGAAAAACTGAGTAAATATGAAGTTCCAGGAACGAGGGAACATGTGATTCCCGACCATGACAAGATAATATGTAAAATAAAAACTGAAAATTTGTAATAAATACATTCAACTTGATTTAGTTATTTTATTTTATAGAACACGACAACGAGTATCTAAAATCTTTACTGAATTAATCAAGTTATGAAACAGTATTTCAAACATTTATTTATATTAAAAACATGTGCATACTGCCTTGATTAGTTCAGTAAAGATAAAAAAAACTTAATATAATTTTTGAATTTGCTACGAAAGCCCGCCAATTTTTAGTTCACTCATAATTCACAGATCCAATACGGTGGCGCTAGTAGTATAAATGAAGGGGCCACCTTCGTTGTTCACAGATGGCGTTCTTCTCCCATAAACTTAAATAAATGTGACACTATGTTCTAATATATAAAAGGTACTCTTTGCTATGTTCGTGTGATGTTCTCGTAGTCGTACACTATAAAAAACATAATTTTTCAGCTTTTATGAGCTGCTGTAATCCAAAATATCACTACTTGATCCCAACTTACTTCTAGTAACAATAAAAGTAAGTACTGCAATAACATATTTCTTTTAAGCCATAAGTGTAACAACCTTGTAACAACATAATGCTGCAAAAAATACTAAAAGAATGTCACGTGGACGGGAGAGGCAACCGCGGAATGTACATCGACCGAAACAAATACATCTGTGCAGCAGGCAAACCAACCGCACAAGGAGACTACGATATCCGATCTAATTTACAACAGTACCAGCTCGAAGATGAAGTAAACGCACTACTGAGTGATGCTATCATCCCTCCCCCACCACCCAGAAAACTAGCTCCACTCCGTCACCCTATAGAACCTGACCAGCGACATGCTGGCGTAAACAATGAAGTAAAAAATATTATTAATCCACCGAAACTCACGCAGTTTCAAGATTTGGTCTCTGAACTCAAAGGCACCGTTTACAAGTCTTACTGGAAAACACCTCTGGGGGAAGTGCCTGATCCACGACCGATGTTGCCAAAAGATATTGATATTGAAAGTACTACGTTCGGTAAGAAAAATCCTCATGGAGAAACTCTTTATGATTTAATTATGCCAAAAAATCCTTTGCCTGACCAGACACCTACATCAAAAAAGCCATCAGCTCACACGTACCGAAATTATTGTCAACCAGCATTCAACCCAGATTTAAGATACGGACACAAACCTAAAGTAGGCAGACGAGATTGTCAAACAAAAACTGTCCTGACTGATACAAAAATTATTGAAGGTACTGGTAGTCGTTGTATAGTGAGTGTCTTAGCAGCTGATTTCAAAAACCTTACTCAGCCAACCATAGGAAAAGCTTTACGCCCCAATAATAATATAAACAATGTACCTGAGGGCCATCGTTTTGGAAAAGTGGAAAGGAAGCCTATCCATGAAAATGAAAATTTGTGTTTGTTTAACCCAAAACTGCAAGATTTTAGAAAACGTTTGGCACATTTGAATACTCTGCGTGGAACTAACTCTAGGCGATTTGAACCGTCGTTCTTTAAGAACTTTCACTTGATTTTGAAACATGAAGATAAAGACAAAACGGGCTGGATACCGAAACAAATTGTATACAATCATTGCGAGAAAAATTGTATAAATTTTGACCGGTCACTGATCGAGGGTTTGCTTCGTGCATGGGAAGCTTTTGATGGATCTAATATCGAATACAAAACTTTTATTCAGGCTATTAATCACACAACACCCATGCGTGATTTTCCTAAATTGCCAGAATTGTATCCGGATTGTGGAGACTACTGTACGACGTACCGAGAGGCATACAACATAGAGAAGACTCGTGAAAATGACGATGGTCCGAGGGCCGGTGTGCCGTCAGGTAGGTACTTCGATTTAGATTATCCCGTAACTCCTAACAATTACTGTAAAGCCGGTATAACTTGTCTCCCTGATGAATCGGATATGAAGTCTTGTTTGTTTCCAAGTATATTTACTCTGATGAATGTGAACCACCGAGACATGTATGCGAGCCGCGAGCCTGAAGTAGTTAGGCGCGTGTTCGAGGCCGCCGGTGAGGAATTCACTGACGAAAAATTTAATAAAGTTTGGCAAGAAGCTAAAAAGCACCACTCCAAGGGTTTGGTTTGCTATGAAACATTTCGTAAAGCTTTGAAGCAATTTGATGCCGTCAACTAAAATTCAGTCAGCACTGGTGGACAAAAATCTGTTTCGTCTTAAATTGATAATTCACTGTAAGTTAATTTGTTTTTCTTTATCCTGTTATTTATTTTAGTAATTTAGCTATACCTAGTTTAGATTTAATTTGTTATTATGTTTCCTATTTTAAGTTTTCCTTTGTTTTAAGGCTTGTTTTGTTAATAGTGAAACGATTAATTTACATTATTTTTTTAGTTTAAATTAATAAATTACGTTTTAATTTGAAAACGCTGGTATTTATGAACCCAGAGAATAATAAGAAAAGTGTTCCATGCAAAGTGACTGTCATCCCCTAAAACAGGCCCGCCCCCGCGCTAAAATAACAGATTTTACATTCAAAAAGAGCCTGTCGTGTTTTAAAACTTTTAAAATTGTTGTGTTGCTAAATTTATTTGGGCCACCCTGTATTAGTACCTACCTATATATAGGTACTAGATACTATGTACCTACCTATATACGGGGTTTACTAGTGACCGATAGCGAAAACGCAGAACCGGCTGGTGATAAGGAACAACTTTCCCCAAGGAACATAGGTCGAAATACGAAAAACAATTTTGAGCCTCCCATACTATATTGCCGATCAGCTGATTTGAGTTACTATCAAATGGGAGGTAATTTTTTTCTTCCTGACCTGTGTTCCTTTGGGAAAGTTGTTCCTTATCATCAGCCAGTTCTGAGTTTTCGCTATCGGTCACTAGTAAAATTTCACCCTATATAGGTACTATTTGTCTCTGTCGCACTTGTAAAAATGCCCGAAGTGCAGGTTCTGCACTTGCCTGGGAGATCTACTTTTTCCGTTCGTAGCGCATACCGATTTTGGGTGATCCGCAGCGAATGAGTTAACAATCTATTTTAATGCACTCACAGTGCCATACTATTCTCAGAAATGAAAATAAGAAATAAAAAAATTACATACATCGACCGGGGATCGAACCCGGGCCGCATGGGTAAACGCCCAACCGCTCTGCTAAACGGTGAGCTATCGATGCACCGATTGATGAATGCCATATTTTTTATGTCTTGACATACATTTTTTCTATTTATTATTTTCGTTTGTGTGTTAACCCACTCAATACGTGCTGAGGTCCTAATGCGGCCTTGGTGAGGTCAAATGGCGTGCTGAAACGAAGTCAGGTCATTAGGTTGTCATTTGGTATCCGTTGCGATAAGGTGGAAGACCCATCTCCGGTATCTAACGTCGTCGATGGCTTCAATATACGGTATCAGGTAGTTGCCTCATCTGCCATGCTATGAGGATCATATTGGTGAGTGTTGGGAACTGTAAAAAAGGGGGGTCCACGGGTAGGTAACTCTGCGTTGGACCGTACGTACGGTCTCCTGTTTGTTGGTATGTGATGATGCAGATGATGTTGCAACATGCTTGCATAGGTAGTGCCTATTCACTCTTGCCTTGTCCAAGTTATAATGTGCCGGAAACAGATCTGCCGGCAGGGAATTCCATTCCACTCCTTAGCTGTTCTTCTAATGAGAAAACCATTTAATTTTCTAACTTTTATATCGAAAATCAGGAAAATCAACATGCTGAAGAATCATTTCCATGTTTGAGGGTTGTTTGAATACCTACCTCTTGACCCTGACCTTGAACTCAAGTTGTACGTTTTAGTCAAGAACGGTTGCTAGTTAGTTGCTTATCACTCTAGCGGTTTGGGAGCGAATGCGGGGCGCAGATTCGGTAAATAAGCTTGTCTCCACTGCAACTTTTATTTACAGCACCACCTGGATTTTACCAGAAATGTTTGAATTAGGTACGTTCTTTACTAGATTGACTCTCCTCTAGTATTATTACCTCAATGCTTACACCCCGTTATGTCTAAAATCACCAATTTGAATAAATGCATGCTTGCCGGTAATACACTGTACTTATTAATAAAATAATATAAGCGGTTACTGGTAATAATAGGTAAGTACATACGGGGTGTAAGGGACGGTGTGACGAAAACTTTGCAGGCGTGCTCAGACCATGAAACTGATCAACTTTCCCCATGGAACATGTGATGGAAAATGAAAAAAAAAATGACTTACGATACAAAGTGAATTTTGTATGGGGAGTCGTAAATTTTTTCTCGTTTACCAACATTGGCTCCAAAGTAAAAGTTGTTCAGTTTCATGGTCTGATAATGCCTGCAAAATTTTTTGTACACCGTCCCTTACACCCTATATATCTAACAAAAAGCTGTATGTATAAGTACTCAAGCGACCTTGACATTGAGCTAAAGTCTGTCTCAAGCGAAGTCTCACTTAAGTGAAGTACTAAGTTTTCACTGTTGCTAGTTGTAGGCTCGCTCGTTAAAATTTTTTAGGGTTCCATATACAAAAATTCAAAAGGAGACTCTATTTGAGACGTCGCTGTCTGTCTGTCACCGTGACAGTCAGAGCTTGCGACCTTCTGTGACCTAGTTTGGCCTATACGTGTCTGTACTGGCAACGCCACTACCAACTGGGCTACTGCAATGTTTTGGCCGGCAGGGCTCCATTTACTGGGGTAGTTAAGTGTCTCCTATTCAACGAACGTAATTTTTATTAAAGTACACCGCAGGAAATTAACCACACTTTTGATAAAACTCTTCAAATCAAACAGATTTTTCTTTGCTTGAAAAATTGTAAGTGAAAAAACATCTGCATGATTTTTCCAAATTTTTTATATGTTACCTATCATGGCGTATTTGAAAAATTATGTGAGGGGCAAACACTTTCTATGTCTAGTTCTGAAGATAATGGCGTTTATGTAGACGACTTCCACTTCAAATAGCAAAATTCGCCTGTTTTCAAATAAGTCGACTTCTCTCCCTTTTTTACAGTGAAAACTGTTATTTTTTTACCTTGAAATATACAGGGTGTTAGTGACGGTGTACCGAAAACTTTGCAGGCATGATCAGACCATCAAACTGAACAACTTTTACTATGGAGCTAATGGTGGGAAACGAAAAAAAAATCCTACCTCCCATACAAAATTCACGATCAGCTGACTGACTTTGTATGGGAGGACAGAAATTATTTTTCTTATTTCGACCTATGTTCCTTGGGGAAAGAATTGTTCCTTATCACCAGCCGGTTCTGAGTTTTCGTTATCGGTCACTAGTAAAATTTCACCCTGTATAGCGTTGAATTCAAAACTTTGGGTTAATAGTTAAACTGTTGATTCAGTGCAATTATAAATGAAAGTTAGGTATTTTATTTTCAAATAGTTAAACAACAAGCTTGTCTCTATTAAATTATTTTAATTGCGGCTTTGACCACAATATATGGCATTGTTAAAATGTGTTCGGACAATCACGAGTAACCACAGAATACTCGTACAAATAAAAAGTACATACACACAATATGACACACCTATATCCCTTGCAGGGTAGGCTGAGCGTTAGCGGCTGTAAAAACGGCCATTCACACAAAGTCTGACAAAAGTTTTGAGAGTCATTCAGAAGACTGGGTATCACTATAGAGACAGGTTGTCAGCCTGTCGCCTAAAATTGCAATATACATCAACTCTCAAATCTCTTAGTCGCTTCTTACGACACCCATGGGTAAGATATGGGGTGATGCTATCCTAAGCCGGCACCACAAAGCACTACACACGTGTAACCACAGAATATAATCGATTACCTAAAGTCCTTCCATTGGACTTATCAAACAACCATAACAGCCACAACAGTCCACTGCTAGACATGAGCCTCCCCCTATCAGGGGGTATGGCCATACTTACCACGCTTGGCAGGCAGATTGGGGAGCGCAGTGCAAGATGTTGCATTGACAGGGAAAGCTGCTGGCTGCTGCCCATTTCCTGGATTTTCCATTCCTTCCATACCTTAGTCGCTTTTTACGACACCCACGGGTAGAATTAGGGTGATGCTATTCTAAGCCGGCATCACTCTTAGCCAACAAGTTTCTGTGAAATAGAGATAAAGTTCTGAATGGCACATCTGTACCAGTTAGGCGGGGTTCACACGTTACGTCCGTTATTTTAGCGCTGCATAACGCACGCGTTAGGGCAATACGAATTTCCACCTAATCTTTATACAAATGCGGTTTATGTCAAAGGTTTGACAGACGCATCTGTCAACGCACCGTTACGATACAACGATACGTATAGTGCTAAAGTACGTTTCATCTGGTTTGATCAAATGTTCCTCTGGCGTCATGTTGGTAGCATTCTTCATTCGGATGGATTGTACGGCGGCTATAATATCACGTACGGTACGGCTCAACATGGTCGCCGTATAATCCATCCGAATTAAGAAGGCGCTCATTTCGAATGCTACCAATAGTACCAATATGACGCCAGAGGAACTATTTGATGAGCAAAAGACCATCAAAAGACTCTATTCTGTCAAACCGTTTGACATTTAGGTACCGTAGTAATATGAAAATATGGTGGAAATTCGTTACGCAGCGGTAAAATAGCGCAGCAACGGACGTTAGGTGTGATTCCCGCCTTAAGCAGAACAGATTGCAGCCAGCAAAGTAATCTATGAGAAATGTCTACCAAGCATTCTATTGCGAGGATAAAGTTAGATACCAGAAAGTTCCAGCTATGTACCTCTGTGGTTAGTTTGAGACTTCGCATGATGCACAGAGTGGAAAGTTCGAAAAGATGATTCTAAAAACACATCGGTTTATAATAACTCTCCGTTGTAGTTTTAAATTACCATGTCCTAATTCTGAGCCCGACACAATTTTATCATTAAATATTATATCATCATCATCAATTCATTATAATATTCATTAAAGTCAAGTATATTTTACTAATAGGTACGACTCAGAATTAAAAACATAATTTCCTTTACTTTGCCATGGAGGAAATAAAGGGTTCTTGCCTTGAATGTTTACTATTTTGTAGAAATTTTCCACAAGATAGTAATTTTGAACACTTGGTGTTGGTGTATTAACTTGTAACCAAAAAGTGAATATGGTCCTTGCCTTTGCTACGCCTATTTGACGAAATGTGACAGCACTAGGTAATTTAAGTTAGGCTGAAAGAATTTTTTTTCGAATCACGGGCATTGTCTTGTACCTTCGGATATTCCATTAATATTTTTTTTTTTTTTTTTTTTTTTTTATGTAGCCTGCTCCGTGTCCCACTGCTGGGCAAAGGCCTCCCCTCTTTTACGCCACTTATCTCGGTCTTCAGTTTCCGACTCCCAGTCACCACTAAATACGTCTAGGTCGTCTCGCCATCTTCTCCGAGGCCGGCCTCGTCGTCGGCGACCATCCTGTGGCACCCATTGTGTAGCTATCTTAGCCCACCTGTCGGGGTGCATGCGACAGACATGTCCAGCCCAGTCCCACTTCAGCTTTGCAGACTTTTTCCCAACGTCCATGATGCCAGTTTTTGAGCGCAGGGTTGTGTTTCTTATTCGGTCTATCCGTTTTACACCTAATATGCTGCGCTCCATGGCGCGTTGGCAGACCTTGAGTTTGGACTTTTGTGCTTCTGTCAAAGACCATGCTTGAGCGCCATAGGTTAGTACGGGCAGAATACACTACTATTCCATATAAATTCCATTACTATTCCATTAAAATAGGTTGGTAGTTGAAATAAAATACGACTGTAAATAAGAGGCAATGAACCATTAAATAGCAAGGTAAGATCTGTTTTCAATCACAATAGACGTTCACCTGGTCTTTACGAGTTTCGCCTTTGGCAATAGGTAGTACCTACGTAGCAACCCAGGTAGGGTTGAAGGAACAATTTATACTGGTTTTTTGACAATTATCATACAAATACTAAGAAAAACCAATAGAACTTGGTCCCGTTGGTTGGTACCTAAACGCACATAATACCTCGGTACCTACTCGGTTCGGACACAGTCTCGTAAACAAATTTAAATAAAGGCACAATAAAGAAAAATGAACTTTATGCATAAGGAAAATGAGAAATGTAAACAGTGTTGGCATTACCTCGAGTTATTTTGTGCTGAAACTATTGCACAACAAGGCGTAAAGTACACTTTTTCAAAGTCTGGGAATCCCT